GGGGGGGGGGGGTTTCAGCAGCCACTTCAAGACACAAGACACTTGTGCTACCTAGTTTACTGAAAATTATTATGGACTTGAACTACAATTTACATGAAACCGCACTGTGCTCTAAAAAGACCACAGGAAAAATGCCACTAAATCATGCCAGAAAAGGCACAATATTTCTACTGGTGAACAGTTTTCTGTCCGTGTGCGATCTCTGCTGTGGCTATGTACCAAAGGTGGGCTTAGCACCCAGTCTAGCTAAAATCCCCACTAAAATCATGGGGGGGGGGGGAAATTGGGACACTTTGACAAAGGACTGGCTAGGGATTTTGACTACCAATTCCACCCGGATATTTCTTACACTGCACTGGTGCTACCAAGTCCTCTTAAATATACCCATAAATGCTGCAACTCTTCCATATTTCCCAGTACATCAATTGAGACAAGCAGGGGGATATTTTGATACACATGGTACAGACAGCCCTTTAATACACCTACAGATACTCAAGATTAAGAGGATCATTGTATTTCAGCAGAAACTTAAAGCAATGTTTTAAAAAATAAAGAAATAAAATGATCACATTTTCCCCATTCCATATAATTGAGGAAATAAGGGTAGAATTATAAATAGTATCTCCAAAAGCAGAACACAGAGAGTTCATGCATGAGTTATTGGTCATTAATACAATTTTGTGTGATCTGAATGGAATGACTTTGGAGGAGTAACAATAGGTTACTATGGGTAGTCAAGGTCATGTATGTATTTGAAATGTGAACCAGGAAATATTGAAATCGTTTACAATTTACAATAAAATAAAACTGCCAGTATACCACCTGTGATTACAGTATAGTTGTAAGCATGGAGGTGTGAAATTGTAAGGGCATGAATTTATTATTCCATTTCAACCTGTGAACAATTACAGTCAGGTAATTGAACTTACACCTTTTAAAATAAAAAAAAAATTAAAAAAAACTATTTTATCAAGTACTTCTTTGAAAAATATTTCCTATCTTGGAAAATTATTTGAAAAGATTTGTTTTCACATGGTTTGCCTAATCTTGCCTAGTCAGGGGATCAAAATAATTTTGATTGCAGAGACGGGTTGCAAGCTGGGGCAGGTGCAGACAGTGCGATCACCCCCCAAACTGTATTACGAAAAATAATTGTTATATAATATTGTTGACATGAATTACTGGTAAGGTATTTAAGATATCAGAGTGCAATTTTGGGGCACCTAAAGGTCAACATTCTTAAAATGTTCCCACCTCAGCCCCAACCATGGCGGGACTGAGGTGTTATGCACCCCTGCCGCCAAATCCTACATCTTCCCCAGGCAAAACTAGTCAGCAAGGATAGGAGAGGTGGAAAGCAGGAGAGAGGTAGCAGGGCAGTACAGAAGGGAAGGGTCAGCAAACCTTGGTAGCAGGGACTTGGAAGAGGGGTGACAACAAGGAGTGGAATAGTTGGGTGTAAAAAGCAGAGTACAACAGCACAAAAGTAGGGTAATTAAAACAGAAAAGCTGGGAGTAGAGTTTAGTGGTTGGCAGAAATAGGTAAATGTTTTGATTCGCGCGAATAAATTTGTTTAGTGGAAAACGAACTTATTAAGAATAAGGCGGGCCTTTTCATATACCTTGTTTAGTGAACCCGCCAACAGCAAATATTGATGATTTAGAATAAAAATTAAATTTTACTTTTGGCCAATTAGCACACCTGCCGCCAGGAAAAAGTTAAAATTTCAGAAAAAAAAAATATAATAAAAAAATGTTTATTCTCTTAAGATAAGATGTATATTTCTTCCTAACTATATCAATTTAAAGCATTTAACCATCCTATTTTACATTCACTAATGAAATTTTATTTTTATTTTCTCCTCCGTCTGGATGATTTTGGCAAACTATTTGCTGAATAAGAAAACAAAATTTTATTTTTATTTTTATTCCGTCCTCCACCAAAAATCTTTTAAAAAAATAAGTACGCGAAACAAGGAATAAAAAAAAAAAGTCTCGCCTAAAAATAATAGACATCTGTTAATTTGGGACCACAAAAAAATGGTCTTGAATTAGAGATGGTCTTTTATAATTGGAAGGGTCTTTAATTGAAGGGAGGCCTGCACTCAATGCTGTAGCCAGCTATTGGGACAGTTGGGGCAGTCCCAAACAATTTTTCTAATGGGTCCACATTTTTAAAAATGGGTCCAAATTATGTAATTTTATGCACACAATGGGTCCATGTTTTAAAAAATGGATCCAGATTTCTCATATTTAGATTAAAATGGGTAAAATTTAAGAAAGTGGGTCCAGATTTTTCATATTTTTGCGTAAAATGGGTCCACATTGTTTGAATTTACGCGTAAAGTGGGTCCACCCTGATATTGTCCAATACTGTTTGAAAATGTTGTCTACAGCATTGCCTGTAATTACACTTACTATCTTCAAGTAGAAATGTATCAATGTTGATACATTATTGATTCCTGATGATGATCTAATAAAAGATTAAAATATTGAATCACAATGACGAGTCTTACTTTATTTGATGTACGTTCTCTACTAAGTTATTAAAAATTAATGTGCTTGCCTACCTCACTTTTACTAATCCTTAATTTATGCATCGCTTCCGGGAGCAGGAGAGTTCAAGCGGTGGTTTAAGTTATTACCAAACCGAGGTAGTGGTAAGAATGACCACATGTTCCTACAATGCTGCATCTGTCCAAAAGTCTCAGCTAAGTCTGCAGAACTCATCAGCAATCTAAAGATTGACACATGAGAATTTTATTTTAATGTTGCAATGCAGTAACATAAGACAATATTTTCAGCAAATTTAAAATGATCTAACCATTAATACTTATCAAATAATATCTAAATAATACAGAAATTTGTAAATTTTTAGCAAGGGATACAAAAAAAAAAGAGGAAATCAGCAGTGAGACAAGATCAAATAATGGTTTTGAAATTACAAATAATTTAGTAATTAGATATTGGAAGTGGTGTTTGAAGAAATACAGTTGGGAAAAGCTATATCCGATATAGATTTTTGAAAATTAAAAAACTTGGTGACAAAATTGCAATTTATTTTCTCTTTCAGTACAGTAGTATACGTGATTTAACAAATTACTTTCCTTTAATTAAGAAAAGGTACTAACTATTTTTAAATCAGTCTTTAAATTCTGATTTGGATTTGATTGTATGCAATTTCAGACTGGTGCAAAAGTTGCAGACTCATCTACTTGAGGAATGCTATTACAGAGGTCCCAACTTTTTGAAGAAGTCATTAGCACATCTAGTTTTGTTTTGCTGCTTATGGTGATCCATTGACACAGACTTCCATGAGACCAATCATAGGGGTAATGCTGTAATAAAAACATGCAGACTTATTGAATTTGCGGATGCAGAGTGCGGGAGGCCATCTTGATTTCTGGGAGACTCCTGCGACTTACGGAAGACTTGGGACCTCTGCTATTAAGTTGCCAGGCCTATTTTCGTCCCATACCGTCTGTGATGCGTTTTGAATAAGTGATTTATTGAATCTGAGCTGCCTTTGCAAGTTGCTTTTTGGGATTTTTCCTCCTCTCAGGCACGTATTAAACCTAGGAGGCTTTTTGGGAGGGGGAGGGGTCAGCCCCCCCCCCCCCCCCCAAAACAACCTTTGACAAGTTTACTGCTGTATATTAGTATTTAACTTTGTTTTAATAAAAAAAAAACACTTCTGAGTTACACTTGACCTATAGGAAACCCCCTTCTGATGAACCTGGTTACAGGCTGTTTTATTACAGTAATTAAGTTATTATCATTTTGTATGTCATGAGAAAAAAAAAGAGAAATAAATGATAAAAAAAAATCTCTGTTGTTATCATTATTATATTGTATGTTATTATTATCATGATCAGAAATAGGCCTAGAAATTTGGTGTTTTGAGCTAATCTATTAATAGCATAGAACTGTTATTATGGTATCTCTTTGTATAATCAGTGTCCAGGGATTGATACAGACAGATTGGCAACATTTGTGATGGTCCAACACCTCTCCTACTAATACTACTGTATCTTACAGCATTCTTTGCTTGGGCAATGGAGGCGGAGCCATCAACCTGTTGAAATCGCTAACCACAGGGACCACCTCGACATAACAGGAAATAGGAAAAATATATTATAACTGGGAAGTAAAGGAAATATAACAATATGTGATGAACAGGAAAAATTCCATTTTTAAAATAAAAATTGTATGACATGAAAGACTTTCCACTTTATCCCTGCCCCTTGAATAATATGCCAATAGTGCGCCAATTCCAAAGAACAATGATCAAAGCCGCAGTGTACACTAGAGCTAGAAGTTTAAAGAGATGAGTTTTCAGTGAAGATTTGAATGCAGATAAAAGTGGATGATCTTACTCAAAGAGGTATATTATTCCAGGGATGGAAGCAGCTGATGTAAAGGTGCTCAAGCCGTAAGCTTAGTATTATATAATTGGAACAGAGAGAAGGTTTAGGGAGGAGAAACGAAGGTGACGGTAAGAAGTTCAGCAAGGTTGGGAGGGGGGACCGGGGGTGTGGAAAACTGGGGGTGTGGGAAACTTAAATGCTTTGCTTTAAAAGTCAATATAAGTTTTTTAAACAATGCGTTTGTCGACAGGAAGTCAACGGAGAGTACGAATAGTTGGGGGTAATGCAGGGGCGGATCCAGAATTTTTTTAAAGTGGGGAAATGGGGGCACACAACAGTTTCAGAATAGGCAAGTAAGTAGCAACCCGTGCCCCCTACTGGATCCGCGCCTTGGTAATGTGACCGTATCTCGCAGTCAATTTACAGATAAGGGCAGCATTACTTTGAATTAAGACATATGTTTTTTAAACAATGCGTTTGTCGACAGGAAGTCAACGGAGAGTACGAATAGTTGGGGGTAATGCAGGGGCGGATCCAGAATTTTTTTAAAGTAGGGAAATGGGGGCACACAACAGTTTCAGAATAGGCAAGTAAGTAGCAACCCGTGCCCCCTACTGGATCCGCGCCTTGGTAATGTGACCGTATCTCGCAGTCAATTTACAGATAAGGGCAGCATTACTTTGAATTAAGACACTTGATTGAATATGTGGGAAGGATACTATTGATAATGTCCCACAACACAGCCGCATAAACGCACATAAACACAAATTTTTGTGGGAAAAATGCATATTCCTGGCCTGTTCTGATTGTTAACTTTGATTAACTCTGGAAGGGTTCATTAATTACAAGAGTCATTCCATATAGAAAGAGTAGACACTGTACGGTAAGTTGCGTAACATTTGACATACAAATTCGCCAAAATTTTCTGGGTCATTTCTTTCTGATATTAATAATAGTGCCTCGTTGGGAGGACAATTAAATTCTAATAATCAGTTATAACTTCATTCTCAAAAGCTAATTTCAGAAGCGCATAATTACAGTAACTTAAGTAGTTAACAATCGGTAATCAAGAGTATTGGCACACAGCAGATTGATAATAAGAGAAAGAGCTGCTATACAACTGCAAGAGCTTGACATACAGCTGCTATAGATATGTAAATATCAGATATATCATTTGAAAATAGCAGTAAGTGTAGAAGTTAAATGATCATCAAATACTGTATATATCAGTTCTATTATAGCAGTAAGTAGGAAGAAATATGCAAAGGATGTATCAGTTCAAGTGCTATATCTTTAAATATCAATTCTAATAGCTGTGCTATTTAAGATTTTAAATTGCTACAACCAGCAATAGCAGATTAATATCAATATAAATATTAGTAGCATAATTATCAGACAATCTGCTATAGCATATAATGCTGGGTTCTTTATAGTGCACACGAGTGGCCACTGTATACACTGGGCTTACGGTTCATAGTCCTTATCCGAGAAGAGTTGTTCTACCACAACAACCATAGGCTATTGAATTTAAAAAAAAAAAAAGGACCACCATGGCTGAGGTTTGAGTTCTTTTAGGATCTAGCACTTCTAGATTCTCGGAAATAGCACTCTCAAACAAAATCTCACAACAGAAAATTATCTACTATTGTGGGTCGGAGGAAGCAAACAGTTATTGGTAAGGCAGGAGAGTCAACACAAACCTAAGGCCCATCATGGCTGAGGTTTGAGTTTTCTCTTAGAATTTAGACTCTAAACAATCTCCGCAAAAAAGTGGTAAGATGGATAGTGTAATGTCAGGCCCTCACTGTGTCCTATGACCGTCGGCCGACGAATCCAACTCCATCCTCTGTGAGCGTTAGATGATGTGACACCGTCTGCTAATTGTCTTTGACAATTCATTGCACCTGCGTTATGGCGCTGCGCTCTCCATAAAATAGCGTCGACGACAAACGCAGTGAAGTGCCTGGCTTTAGAAGCAAAAATTACTGCAGTGCTCTCATCCAGTGTCATGCCAGTATTGGAGAAAATGTGCGCAACATATCAATTTGTATTCCGTGGTTTTCATACATAGATATGTAGATACACACGTAGATTTTGTCACGAAAATGTATGCTTTATAGTTGTATTTTATATTATGGTTGTTTCATTAAGCTCATATAATATTTCGCATCCATGAAAACATTTCTACCTATATTCCTTGGGCGATAAGCGTAAGTGGAGCAAGCATGTTGCTCATTAATTAATGAAAGTGCAGCGAGTTTATAATGTTTCTTTCCCATGGCTATGCAAATAGCACATTTTCATGCCATTACTTTGGAACATTTTCAGTATGAATGTCATTTGCAATATACTCTGGAGGATAATTTAGAATCAAAAAAGTATGCAGCGTATAAACTGTCTCTTATACACATCTAGATGTGTATAAGAGACAGATTATATTGTATGTATGAGCGTATAAGATTGTATGAGAGATGGCGGTTATACATTTGCACATATACCATAAGGTTTAGTATCTATTATGTAATGGCATGATACTCGCTTTAATATGCAAGAGGCTGCAGACTCGAATCACGCTTGGGACACGTTTTTCATCCAACTTCCTATTCCAGAGCTATTTTCAGCCCTTATTGGTCTTCATTTATGAGCATAGGCCAAGGCCAAGTTCACACTTTGTGACTCAAGAAATGAGCGGGTCACACATTGAATATTTTAGGTCTGAATTTATGGCATAAAACTCGCCTTGAGTCAAGTCACCTGGTTAGCCAGGTATTGCGATGCCGACAAGCAATGACGGTACGTGTCACCAACGGCGGCAAAGACCAGACGGCTACGACGGCTGCAGCGACAACAACATCAATGACAATAAATAAGACATTGGCAATGATGATGATGACGACGACGACGATGATATTATAATGATATAATTTATAAAAAAAATAATAAAATAGTTAGCCACTCGAATGTGATGTAAACTGATGACGAATGATGCTTGGATGTATACATTATTAACTTTCTCTTCACAGGAAATTCGTGAAGCCCATGACGCTGCCGAAAATGCATATTTTTGTGACCATGTGACTGAAAGGTCTAAACTTGAAGAATACATGAGTACGATGTTGGCTTCGCTTACTAAAGTACTGGATTCATTCTCATCATTTTGCTCCGAATACAACGGCACGTCTACCAACCCACACGGATGTTCACAGATTCTTGAACAAATACGGAATGTTAGCTGTCTCTTATACACATCTAGATGTGTATAAGAGACAGATTTAGTAGTGCGCCAATTCCAAAGAACAATGATCAAAGGCGCAGTGTACACTAGAGCTAGAAGTTTAAAGAGATGAGTTTTCAGTGAAGATTTGAATGCAGATAAAAGTGGATGATCTTACTCAAAGAGGTATATTATTCCAGGGATGGAAGCAGCTGATGTAAAGGTGCTCAAGCCGTAAGCTTAGTATTATATAATTGGAACAGAGAGAAGGTTTAGGGAGGAGAAACGAAGGTGACGGTAAGAAGTTCAGCAAGGTTGGGAGGGGGGACCGGGGGTGTGGGAAACTGG